AAGTTTTCAGACAATAAGCAGTGGTTACATCCCTTCTTCAGACAGTCCAGAAGTGAAATTAGTGAATAAGGAAGTTTGCACATGCTGAGGCAGTGACAATAACAACCACGTCATTATTGACACCTGGCCGGCAGCTCTATAAGGTGTGCTAATTTCAAATATGTGAAAATGTATTTCTTACAATGGGACAAATACAGGGCCAAAGCAATTGAGGGAAACTTTTTCTTGTTCTTTTCTAAAACTTAACCAAAATTTGATCACGAATTCAGGAAATCTCATCATCAAGAGTAATGCTAGTCATAGTATATGAGCCACAAGTAAAAGCTGCCTGTCAGTCTCCATCCATGGTGATTGTACCAACAGGTATAACTAGCTGCTTTGTCATTTATGGTATAGGCATGTTAGTGCCTTTACATATTAAAACAGACATTATATAAACTGCTTTTATTTCTGTTTTATATTAGAGCCAAGTCATTTTATTGATGTTTTTTTCTATTTATATGTATAGGTAGGTTATATTATCTACGAATTTCACTTCAAGAAAATAAAGACTGTTTAGAAAATATTTGTTATGAAAGGGTGACATGCAGTTTGAAAGGGTTTGGAAAATACTGAATTTAGGAATTATGAATACATGCTTTTCCTGTAAACAGAAAGCAAATCCTTGGAGGCATGTTCCTAACAAATATTAGTATGTTTGTGGATAGGGGAACAGGGGAGGAGGCAAAAAATTGTGTATTAATTTAGCATTAAATGATAGTTTTATGCCCTTGTTTTAAGAAAGTGACTTCACATTTTGCACAGAGAGCATGAGCTCTTGAGTAAAACTATCTGGACTCAAATCATGGTTCTACCATTTTTTATGTCATTTTGAGTGAATGACTCGGTCTCTCTTTGCCTCAGTTCCCTGGTGAGTAAAATAAAGATCGCAAGAGCAGTACCTCACAGAGTTTTTATAAGAACTAAATGGTGCAATACATGGGATGGTATTTACAATGGTGGCTGGTATGTCAGAAGCAGTAAATACATGAAAGCTATCATTAATTATAACCATAAAGTATATATATATATTTATGCAAAACAAAATGTCTGAACTTCTGCTAAACTCCTTACCACCTCAGAAATGACTCTTGATGAATTTATGATGTCTTGATATGATGGAAAATAACTCCATCTTTTCATGAATGTTTTATCACAGACTTATATTGGAAATGATTAGACTATCTTTTGGGTAATGATTTTTTTTTGGCAATTGCCACAGAAATGCTCTGTATTATACAATTATAGTCCAACAAAGAAATAGGTAAAATATGAGGTGTGGCCAAAATATAGTCCTCCACCAAATAAAATGTGTTGCCAGTACACAGTATTAGTTTTTGTAAGATCATTTAAGGTTTTGTTTTATTTAAGCCAACAAATATCATTAAAGATCCACCAACATCTCAGCTCCAGGCAATGCTGAGTAAGTATAAAAGAAAAAGCACTGTGCTCCTATTTCATGGTAGGATGCTGGGATGCTGGGACAATGACACTGAAATGTGTCACTAAGTAGAGTCACTAAGAGGAAGAGTATAATTAAGTACTAAATTGCATGGCACAGCTCATAAAAGAGTTGTAGGAATTCAAAGGAAGATGAATATTGCAGGATGGTTAAGAAAAGTTGTGCCCAGAAGGGAGAGGGAATAGAGCAGCTATTATATGTATGACCTGGTCAAGTTAGTTAACCTCTCAGCATTACTGTTTCATCCTTTACATAATTTGACAATTTAATGCATGTAAAGTGCCAAGCACATTCTAAAGAAAGATAGGTTTGTGGTGGGGTCTTAGAGAACGATACCTGCCTAAAGAGGCAGTGTTTCGGATAGCAGCATACCCCATGTCATACAAAACACATACATATTCCTTTTAAAACTTCAGATTCAAAAAGGTAAGGAAAAACTTTCACAAATGATGGCTCTACTATTATAACAATTTTGTGTGACAAATAATCACATCTATCCTCCTGTGTGGTAAAATAAATCCTTGAGCACAGGAGGCTTAATGCAGGTTAAAATCCTACAGAGTTCCTTCTAAGTAGAAATTCTCTCTTTAAAAAAAGAAATGATGTAGAATAAATATATCTGCTTTCCCCTCTAAATCCTTGCATCTCACTGGTCCTTCTCGTATATAAAAGTGGCCATGACCTGGGCTCACCTTTATCTATAACAAAGAGTTATAATCATAATCCTTTCTCTACTGTGATTTTCAGATAATTAAAATTAGAGAATAATAAGTTTTCCTCATTTTCTGTAGATAGTCAAGCAAAGATTACATATCACTTTTCCAATATAGAAAAACAATAAGAGAAGGAAGGATTCCTCTAAAGTGTGTCAACACCATCTAGAGAAATTATACTTACCAGAGCCCTGATATCATTTACATGTATCATCTTTCACTGGAGTTTTTGCTAACATCAGTTAGAGCACTAATTTTCCCAGGAAGCAGAAACAGAGAAAATAGGAGGATAACATTATGTGGACAACATAATGGTGACTTTGACAAATAAAACTGCATCTTCTAGGACTGGTCAAAGCATGGAACTGTCTTCTGCTTAAAAATAGAAGGCACATTAGAGTGATAAAAGTTTCCACTTCAAGCCAAATTAAATTATTCCAATTCCAACCCTGAGGATAATTTCATGGCAATTAGAAAGAAGTGGGCCTTGTGGAAAATTCCATTATTCATTCATAACTATACAAAGGTAATTTCAGCTGTGCATCACAGGATCTATATCCATTTCTTGCAGAGAGAAATGAAATTAAGGCCTGGAATCATTACTTTGGCTTGTTCAGAAAGGAGAGAATTGGAAATGCAGTGTTGGTAGTTTGAGGCTTTGCTATGTAAACTCACCTACATATGTTGGTCCTTTCAGAGTTTGTTTGTCATACCGTGTGACCATACAAATGTAAATTATTTGTACAACAAAATTGTTTTGCCTGTGTTTCTTTAATGCTTTCATAGTCTTTGATACATATATGCAAATTTATTTTGACTAAGACTTTCTTTCTCCGCAAGGTAGGGCAGTCCCCTAGTTTCCTGGTGGCATATAGGGAGGAAATTTGCATGCCCCTTACTTCTGCAACCACCAAGCTAGTCAGGAGAAACCACATTCTACTCATTTGTTCTTTTATTTAACATTCTCATAATCTGTGCAACACTGCAAGGGAGTGTGCTAGGCACTAACAAAAGAGCGGTAAACAAAACATGACCCCATCTTCCTGGAGTTCATGGTTTTCTCAAATATCTGTTGTGGTTCTGGCTTTCATTTTGTATTCTGTGTATTTCGTAAGTAGATTTCTGGTCTTGATAACCAAAAAGAAACTCAAAATATGATAAATCAAGCTGTTAGGCAGGACCTCAGAGGAAGCAATGGGCAAGGCTGAAGGGGCTGCTGCAAGGAGAACTTGAGACACACATAGATGCAGCACAAAATATCAACCCAAAGAGTACTCATTTCATGTTGCTTCTGTAAGAAATTACCACAAACCTAATAATTTAAGCCTACACAAATTACTTATCCTACATTGCTGGAGGTTAAGCATTGTAAAATCAGGGTGTTGGCAGGGCTGCATTCCTTTGCAGGCTCTTTGGGAGAATCTGATTCCCTACTTTTCCAGCTTCTAGAGGCTGCTGAATCCTGGTTCCTTTCTCCATATTCAAAGCCAGCAGCATGGCCTTTTCAAATCCCTCTCTCACTTTCTCACCTCTGCTTTGGTCATCACCTATTCTCAGACTGACACTCTTACATCCTTTTTATAAGGAGCCATAGAATTACAGAGGATCCACTCAGATAATCCAGGATAATCATCCATCTCCAGATCCTTAAGCTAATCATACCTGCAAAAGGTCTTTACCAGGTAAGAAACATATCATGAGTTCTGAAGATTCAGGGTTGGGCATCTCTGACACCCATTGTTCAGCAAAGCAAATACAAAAAAGAAGTTGGACTTTTTTGCACTGCTAGTCAATTAACTGCATGTTGGCATTCTGTAAGTTTATTTTTTACTTCAAGACCATTTTGATTATCCATTTTAACTCGCTTTTTCTTCATTAGAGTGGTGGCAGCCCTTGCCCTCCCCGCCAAACTGGTTATTTCTCTGAGGCCTTGTAATTCTAAGACCAGTTTTCTTCACAAGTCAACAATCTAAAAATAAAACCAGAGGCAATGACATAACTCATAAATGAACTCTATGAGCTGATTGTCACAAATAAACACTTCATTACAGCCAAACTTTCCTATATCCTTGTAGGACTAAATTCTATAACAAATACATAATTTATGGGGCTGGAAATAGCTTTTCTACTTTCTACAATGGGGGGGGGGCGGCTATTGAGTAAGATTTAGCAAATTGATCCTGGCTTAATTCTTGCAGACATTATGTAGTACAAACTCTTCTTCGATGCAGATTATAAATTTAGGTTTAGCAAGGAATAATATGCGTTACTTTAGCGGTAAAAAAGTCACCAAGTAGCTTGTGCTTCCAGGAATGTTACAGGTTAGAACTGATATTTTCATGTCACTTCCACTGGTGCAAAGAAGAAACAATTCATCTTAGTTTAAAAAAATACAGAGAAAAATTTTGCTTTCAGACATCATGGAATAACAGGGAATAGATTTACCTTCTTGCCTTAAAACAAAATTACACAAAAACAGGAAAACATGTTTTCGTACGAAGTACACAGTGTAGCAAATACCCCACTTTACAAGCTGCAAGCAGTTTGCAGACGTATTATACAGGTGGGGTCCTCAGTGCCTTCAGCCTCTGAGTCTATTTACATTTATTTACCTAAGTCAAATTTTTGCTCCACCAGATAAAATACATCGAAGTAAAATTATACGTACACGCTCTACCCCTAGACAACAGCGGAACCAATCCCGGGAGTAGTGAAGTCTCGCGTTATTGTGAGCTCTAACGCTGTGACGTCGTTACCCTCACGTAGACACTCGCGAGACCCGAGACTCGAGGGTGGGTGGTGCCAGCAGTCCGTTTACTGCCAGTGAGGTTTCTGTGAGGAAAACAGACGTTCACTAACCTGCGGTTGCCTTGGCTGCTACCATCAAAGCAGCCCGGCTGGGGCCGAAAGGACCCTTCTCCTGCAGACCTGCAGCTCCACTACTCCTGACCGTGCTCCTGGAGACCGCAACCCAGACCCGTGCCTGAAGGTCCGCGAGGAAACCGAGGCGTCACAGGTGATGGCGGAGACGGGTGAGAAAAGCCTGGAGGCCGTCTTACTCCCACAGCCCCAGCTTCCAGGGGACGGGGGACCCCCCCACGACCCCACGGGCTGTGGCCATAATCCCCAGATCCGAGGTGGTGGGGATCCCGGTGACGGAGCGGCTGAAGCAGGGTTAGAAGAGGCTCTGCTTCCCGCCTGGGACCTGGAAGCCAAGTCTGTGTCCATGGCAACGGACAACAGCCGGAACAATGGCTGTCAGATTGGTGAGCCGCGCGGCGGCCCAGGTGCGGAGGAGGCCTTAGAAACCTGTGGCGCACTGAGCTTGGCGTCTGAGGTGGTGGCCGAGGCTAAGGCCGAGGGAGTGAACATTGAAATGAACGCCATCTCAGTAGCAGTGGATGAAGGAGTGATGGAAAAGGAAGGAGTGAAGGAGGAGAAAGGAGTGGAGCAGGAGATGGAGATAGAAAAGCCTGTAGGTGAAGAAGTAAAAATGGCGGAGGAAAACAGACTGGTAGAGGAGGAGGCAGGGCCCCAGCCCCTGAATATGAATCTCCGCATGAACCCCCTGGAGGCCATCCAGCAGGAACTGGACACTGTGAATGCTCAGGCTGACCGGGCCTTTCAACAGCTGGAGCAGAAGTTTGGACGGATGCGTCGACACTACCTGGAGCGGAGGAACTACATCATTCAGAATATCCCGGGCTTCTGGGTCACTGCCTTTCGGAACCATCCCCAGTTGTCCCCCATGATTAGGGGTCAAGATGCAGAGATGTTAAGATACATAACCAATTTGGAAGTGAAAGAATTCAGACACCCGAGAACTGGCTGCAAATTCAAGTTCTTCTTTCGAAGAAACCCCTACTTCAGAAACAAGCTGATTGTTAAGGAGTATGAGGTCAGAGCTTCTGGCCGAGTGGTGTCTCTTTCCACTCCAATCATATGGCGTAGGGGCCACGAACCCCAATCCTTCATTCGCAGGAACCAAGACGTCGTCTGCAGTTTCTTTACCTGGTTTTCCGACCACAGCCTTCCAGAGTCTGATAGGATTGCTGAGATTATCAAAGAGGATCTGTGGCCAAATCCACTGCAGTACTACCTGCTGCGTGAAGGAGTCCGCAGAGCCAGGCGTCGCCCGATACGGGAGCCAGTGGAGATCCCCAGACCCTTTGGATTCCAGTCTGGTTAAACTTTGCCAATGGGACTACCCTTGCATAAGGTTCCCTAACACCTCTTGGTGGACCTGTGCTTTCTACTTTTTTGTTTTCCTGACACTTCTGCAACATTTTTTCCTCTGGACATTTAGTTCTCTCCTCAAAGTTTCTTATCCTGAACATGATTGTTAGATAGCAGTATACTTTTTTTCTGTGTCTCTTAATCTCAAAATAAAAGTAAAGATAGCTTAGAAATACCTGCAAAAACCAGACCTTTTCGTTTTATTTAGTTCTCTCAATGATTTCTAGGGACAGGTTGTCTTGTAAAATAGAGTGCCAGAGCTCGTTCTTCCCTTTGCTTTCTTCCCCAGCCCCCAGAACCTGGAGGATTTAAGGGAGACAGATCTAGATAGAATGAAAAGTGTTACCTAGTTCATAATGGGTAGAAGAACTTAAAGAGATTGTGATTGGTGCCCTAAGAAGGGGAAACTGATCAAAATGCGAGGCAAAAATGAACCAGGTGAAAATAGGGCCTAGCTGACAGAGTGTTCAAGGAAAAGTTTTCCCCCACCCCCCATGTTAGTGATGGGAGGAGAAATACATTTTTTTAGAATTTCCATGGGAGAATTGAAGGAGACTAGAGTGTTAAATATGTTGCTGAGAGAATAGTTCTTTAAAGAAACACAACTGTAGATGCTTTCTCTTGTTTTTATTTGCTTTGACTTAATTTATGGAGAAGATTAATATTGTATCCCTTATTTAACTCTGTCCTTTATTTAACTGTGTCCGATATTTAGTAAAATCCTTTAGTTATTTTCTTAGTTTCTGCTTACTGGGAAAATTGACCTGTACAGGCTTTCTTTGCTTTCATTTAGTAATGAAAGATTGTTATTTAGAAAAATAACAATCTTATTTCCCAGTAGGAAATAGAAACAAATGAATATTCATAATGGTTTTCAAGTTCTTGTTTCCGTTAAAACTGCATTTTTAGAAACATAAATAACTTGAACTTGTCAGATTCTCAAGACTTTGGAAATTGTTATCTTCATGGGGAAAATAACCTGGGGAAAATATGTAGCTTGATTGTCTTTCTTGATAATTGCTCTGGTAACAACTTAGTAATTGTGTCTCTTTTCCTAAATAACTTAAATACTTGGGAAATTGCTCTTGTCAAGTTAGAAGTGTATCACTAGCATATTTATCTTTCCATGTGTGTGCATGATGGTAAAATAAAACCATGTTATTCTGCAAGAGTTTTTATTTTCACCCTGTTAACAAACATTCTTGAAATTATTCAAGGTAACAGACTATGAAATTAGTAAAGTTCTTAAATGGATATCACAAGCTTTATCTCAAATGAAGAATAAAATAGGGCACACTACTACTGGATCTTGCAAGATAAGGAGTGATGTTGCTTTTCTTTGTTTTCAAAAAGGCACAATTGGGACTGCTTACTCATGATGTCAGTTTTTCCCCTTGCAGTTTGTGCAGCATTCCCCACCCCCCTTCACTTTCTATCTGTGTAGATAATAGTCTCACATCATTCAGGCTTTTTAGTCACTTGTACATTTAATAAGCACACATTCAGAGAGTTCTTATAAGTGATATACTCTTCTATCCCATACTTTTTCAGCTGTAAAAACTTGTTCATTTTTTTCCTTCAAACCTGACCACCTTCTATTTCTGTCAAATCCAGTAAGACGTCATAAATAACTTCTGCTTTATAGTTTTTCTGTTCCCCTGTAGGGAAGATGAGAAAAAATTTTTATGTACTTGGTGTACTTTGGAGGATCTTCTGTTGTAGAAATGCCTACACAGTAATTCATTGTATTGAAATCCATGAATATTAAGACATTCTGTGAGGTCCCAGGAAGATAACGGAGTAAAAGAAGATAAAGTGCACTCCCTTTATTGTTAAAGAACTGAAGAAAGACTGATAGGCAAACAAATGACACACAGTGATACAGTAAAATACAAAGATTTGTCCACATGTTTTTCACTGTCCCTTTTTAGTTTTGAAGTTTCATGGAAGCAGGGATGGGGGAGGGTATGATAGGCAAACAAATAATTGACACAGTGATACAGTAAAATAAAATACAAAGATTCACATGTTTCTCACTGTCCCTTTCTAGTTTGAAAGTTTTGTGAAAGCAGAGATGAGGGAGGGTGTTTTTACCTCCTTTGCTGTGTCTAGCTTAGTTTTTTTGCACGTAGCTGTCAGATAAATATTCATTGAATGAACAACAAAATGAAGAACTCAAATGGACAAAAAAGAAACTTAGTACCCCAAAAGAATTTTGATGAGGTAATGAAAAGAAAAAAAATGGTTTTCAAGGCATTTGTAAAATTGATGTCCAAAGATTTTGTGAAGCCTTTATTAAATAAAAGCAAATTTCTTGTTTTAAGTAGCTAGAAAAAGTCCAAACACTGTAACAACCTTTCACTTGCCATCGTAACAGCATTAATTTTGGATCAACTTTTCTGTGCTCTGTTTCTGTACATCTCAAGGTGACTATTAAACTGGAGATTGAAGGCCATCACACTCTAGACTAATGTGCTGTCTAGTACAGTAGCCACTAGCCACCCATGGTTTCTGAGCACTTGAAATGTGGCTAGTCCAAATTGAGATCTGTAAGTATAAAATACTGGATTTTAGAGACTTGGTATGGAACATTAATTTTTTATGTTGATTGCATATTGAAATACTATTTTTGACATATTGGGTTAAATGTATTACTAATTTCTCACTTATCCATTTTTTTAAGTGTGGCTACTGGTAAATTTTAAATTATATCTGCATGGTTCTAGACTTTTTGATGAATATCTCAAAGCATATAAAAATACCTAAAAATTAAACATTACTTTTTCCCCATGAAATTTTTTGTGACTTAAGGGTTATCTAGCTTAAATTCAAGATGGGTAAAATATAGCTAGAGGCCAGTGGGTAGAAAGGGCAAAATGAAATGCCTTCAATCTACTTGTTCTCAACTACCATCCTAAGATACGGTATTCAGTACTTTGCAAAACGTACTGTGTACAACTATTTGGATATAAGGTAGATCTGGGTGCCAAGTTGGCACTGATAGTGGTTCATAAGTCTCCAGCAACATTTATGATCTACAGGTTCATATTTTTCTAGAATAAAATGTTCTGTACTTTTTGGCTTACAGATGTACATGGAGCTCAGAAAATAAAGTAATTTTAGTCATTAAATATACCACTTTGTGTATGTTAACATGGGCTCCAAGTTTCAGTAATTAGCCAGCAATAGGAAAAAAATCTAGTATCAAGTCAATTCAATGCTCACCACTTGAAGAAGCATGTTTTATTTTTGAAGATTAGTAATTGCTGCAACCTTGCAGCAATTATTGTGTATTGGATACTATATTAAGGATTATGTGGAATAGTAAAGATTGTTCTGGCCCTTGAAGCACTCAGTATCTCATTGAAGGGATATCATTCCTTGGATGTTTTCACTAACAAATCCCTCAAACCAGTCACTTGCACAGGAAAACAGGATTTATGTGGCCAAGAGGAGGTGTCAGATGATCAGGACCATCTCCTCAGGGCTAATTTCTTTCTCTGTGTTAATTTATAATTGAAGTGCTGGATGGTATAAAAATAAGTATAATCTTTATCTATTTATTATATGGGAGGTGTTTCACTTGTGAGCAGAACTTTCTCTGTTTGATTGAAGTGCTTTGTTTCAGCTGTGAAGGATCACCTTGATCCATTTCCTTTGACCTCAGAGGTTCTCAAGACCCACAGAAAAATTTCCATCAGACCACATTAGGAAAACTGGATGTCTACTTTTTGGCTTCACTTTCTCAGGATTTGTGTTTAATGTAATTTCCTTGAGAACAGGCCAAGAAGAAACAGTTCTATTAAAAATGAAAAGGGTCACTTAAGTTGCTAATTTTCATAAGTACCCAGATGTCTTAATAGTGGCCTGAAGAGGCAGGGAAGGAACACTAGCTTTGTTTGGATTAATTCACAGTTTTAGAATCTTCCTCCAACTACATTAGCCAAAATAAATAGCTTGTCCATAATGCAAGAATGGTAATACCTGTATTATAAGCTAATACCCTCCCAGGTTGTATTTGGAGAACATAAGGTTGTAGAGAGGAAAACAATAACAAACATGTGCCAGGCACTGTGCTAAAAGATACCAAATACTAACATTGTTAATAAATGTTAGAGTTCAAAAATGCCTAGCACAGTGCCTGGCATATAATATGTAATGAATATTAATTACCATTTACCTTCCTCTCAATTTTAATCTCTCGTTTAATTTACATTAGACAAGTAATCATTTAGCCTCATATTTTTCAAACCTGACTGCCCATTATAAATAGCAGGGGGCTTTGAAAAAATCCTGATGTCTAGCCTCTACCCCAGACAAATTAAGTTAGACCCAAACCTGCAGACAGGTTTGAGAATCATGGAAAACCTTTTTTTTTTTGGACTCCTCAAATGAGGGAGTGCTCAGTCCCTTCCCAGTTTTGTTACATTTACTCATAAATCTACCACCTTATAACACCCAGTTATGGCAAAGTGCCTGGCATATGGAAAACTCTCAGCACATCTGCTCCATATTATAACCCCTACAGTTTTACAGAATGGAATTAGCCTAATTACACAAAAAGAGCTCTTTTAAGTATTCTACCCCTTAACCCCAACCCACATTGTGAACAACAGCCTGGCCATGATTCCTGGTAGTTAACATGACCAATGCCATCTTAGGAAGCAAGCTGACCACCAGTTCACCCAAGGTGGAGTGGGACAGACTCACCTGAAAGGAATGTTCTTGCATAGTTAAGTGGGCCCCTAAGTTGTTTACTGCTTTGAATTACACAGCTCTTAACAAGCCTGTAGCACAAGGCCACAAGCCACCTATGTTAGCAGGTACCACTTGGCTGTTTTTCCCACCTCTTTCCCCTTTACACAAGGAAATTTACTCTTGCTGTCTCACAGTCTGCTTCTGTCCATAAATTCCCTTAAATTTTTTCAATTCTGGAATTGTTAGTCTCTCTCTCTCTGGTTTCTCGACCCTTTCCTCCTTTGAAGCTCGGTTTTAGTATTCTTCGGGAAATTTTCTGAACATATACCTGACAAAAGAGTACAATCTATATAATTGGTAAATGTGAAGTAGCTTGGGAAACTTGCCTGTGGTGAGATAAATACAGAATGGTTGTCTGAGGGTTCAGGAGAGTAACTGGAAGAAGCAAGAGTGAACTTTTAGAGGCGACAGTGCTCCATATCTTGATTTGGGTGACGACAACACAGATGTATTCATTTGCACAAACTTGTCAAATAATACACTTAAAATCCATGTATTGTATATAGTGTATGTAAATTATAGCTCCAATAAATAAATAAATAAATAACAGATTTTAAAATATTATTGGGAATTCAAAAACTGGAACCCATTTGCCCATCTCCAGTATTTTGCCTTATCTCCTGTGCTTAAATAAATGTTCCTGACTCCACTTATAGACCTTATTTGCAAGTTTTTCTTACTGCTGTATAATTTCATTTATAATTCCAATCTTGGAATTACTTTTCAACTTTTTCTCCCTCAGTTCCAGGCCACTAAAGAAATTAAGTCTGCTCAGGACAGTGTGTCCTGAAATAGTGTTGACAGTAATAATTTCCGTGTGGCACTCTCAAGAATCTCCCTGAATTTCCCTTTCCATTTCTGCACATTCATATACCTGCAGGATGCTTCTCTGACCTTCCTTATTTGGGCCCTTCTTTCTGACTATTCAGCTCCAACCCACTCCTCTCCATTACCTTAAAGCAGTGGGTCACAAAGGGTGGTCCCCAGACCTGCAGCATCACCAGAATCTTGTTAGAAATGCAAATTCTAGAACTATGGGAATGAGTCATCCAGGGAAAGTGGGTGGCGATTCCCTCTGGTGGAGAATGCCTCAAGCCCTTCTCCCAAACAACTTTTATTGGGCTCCGTACTTGCAGGGGTATACAGTATGCATGCAAAGCTCATCAACCAATGTCTAGAGGCCATAGTTACAGAAAACAGATATCTATAAATAACAATTGAGGAAACAGATTTGCCTCAGGTAAGGGTCTGTCAGACGTGCTGACTCCAGGTGGTTGTTCACTCCTGCTTTTGGACTTAGATATGTGATCCCTGGCAACAGTTCTATACAAAGCAAAGCAAGCCTCAAGGGGATAATGCATTCTTTAGGCCTGACCTCCTATGGGTACCCTCAGTGCTAGTATCTGGTCTTGCCTGCCTCCAGCATTCCTGGCATTCTGGTCGAGACTTACAGGCCTTTTTCAAGGCCTGCTTTGAGTGGGCTACAGTCTCCAATACCACACAAAGTGGTTCCCAACATAGAACCCCATTTATTACCTGCTGAATCAGAAACTCAGGAAGTGGAGGCTAGCAATTGTTTTAACCAGCACTCCAGGTGATTCTGAGGCATGATAGGTTTGGGAACCTAAACTCTGTTGCTGCTCCTGCTTCATCTCTAGTTGACTGTTTCCTGAATTTAGTTTTTCATTATAAAAGCAAGATATTTACCTATATTTTAATCATAGTTAAGTTTCCTGCCCAGTCGAGTCACAATTCAAGTCTCAGATAGCCAGTTCTGCTTCACATACACATCTGTCTTAATAAGTTTAGCAGATCCTTAGGAATATCAGAAATTTCTATGTATGTTCTCATTGTACATTTGTAATCCTACAGTTTTTGTATCATTACCCCCATTTAAAAGACAGGAAAATAGAGGCTCAGCAAATTGGAATGTATTAACCTAGATATAAATAACACAAGCTACATTCAATTAGGGTTTCTCATTTCAAGCCAGGGCACATTCTACCATCTTGTAGCAGCCTGTGACTTTAGCATTAAAACATATAAAATCCTAATTAAGTATGAATATCATGGTTTTAATTGAAAGTTATTAATAATCTGTTCATGAATGGCTTTAAAAAGGGATCTATTTATCTTTAAATATTTTTAAAAGATTTATTTATTTATTTTTAGAGCGGGGAAGGGAGGGAGAAAAGCATCAAATGTGTGGTTGCCTCTCAAGTGCTCCCCTACTGGGGACCTGGCCCACAACCCAGGCATGTACCCTGACTGGGAATTGAACCAGCTATCCTTTTGTTCACAGTTCAGTATTAAATCTGCTGAGCAACACCAGCCAGTGCTACGTATTTATTTCTTTATGTTAAATAATACAGAGTCTCCAAACCCTATCAGGTTCCTATATTTAAGAATGCAGTTTTGGATATTTACTGCCTGAATTAAATTACTTGGTTTTACTTTCCCTCAGAAGAACAAAATAGGCCTGTATAATTTAAATGTTTTACTATCCTCCTGGAACTTGGCTGCTGAGATATAAAGAACATTTGATATCACTAAGAAATGTACAGAATATATATTTACTGAAGTAACTCAATAGAGTTATTACTTATAAAAGACAGTACTTAATTCTCATCCTCTTCACCAAGCTCTGACTTCTCTTAGCACATTACAGTTAAGAGTTATGTTAAGATGGGTCTAAAAACTGGGGGGTACGTGGTGGTTTAGCTGGGATTGTAGTCAACTGTTTTAAGTAATGACCAAAATTTCTCAGAGTTTACTCTTGGGTCCGCTTTGATGGATCATCTTTGATTAGCTATTAAAAGCATTGATTTCAGAGAACCAATTTTTTTCTTAAGGTATTTTATGAAGACTTTAAAGTAATATTACAAAGAAAAATGTGGTAAAGCATTTTAGTTTCAGCAACACACCTTTCCCCTCCCATGAACCAGAAATACTATATGTCTGGAATTATTTAGAAATAACTGGAACATAGTGAACAAATACTAAGTCCCAATGTCTCATATCTTTGTCACATTATTAAAATGGTATCTTGGTTAAATTCAATTCTTTCTTTCTCTTACTGCTTTCTTTACAGATCTTTCATCTTTGAACCTCTATACACTTACAGTTTCATAATAGAATTTCACAATTGATTTTATATTGCCTGTGCTATAGTGAATTCAATCTAGGTAAATCTTAGTAAAAAAAATTATACAAATTACCAAGTTAGCTTTTATTTATTGAAAGCCCATTGGGAAAAACCCTTTACATAGATCTCATTTCATCTTCACCACAGTCCTGTAAATATGTTTTATTATACTCATTTTGTATATGAGGAAATTGTGGCTCAGAGAAGTGACTTGCTCACACTGACTAGCTATTAAGTGGCACATCTAAGTCTTGTATAGCTAGATCTGTCTGACTCTGATGTATGTGCCTTTACCCACTGTTTCAGTCACAGTTCTCCAGGGAAATAGGCCAATACGAAGAGATTTATTATGAGAAATTGGTTCTTGTGATATGGAGACTCAGAAGTCCCATAATCTGCTGTATGTAAGCTGGAGACCCTAGAAGGCTGGTGACCTAAGGCCTGAAAACAGGGGAGCTGATGGTATAAAAACCAGCCTCAGAGCAGTAGGAGATGACCCATCTGAAGTACTTAGGTTGGAAGCAAAAGGGGAAAGTTCCTCATTCTATTTTTTTCTATTTTGTTCTATTCAGGGTTTCGAAGGATTGGATGATGCTCATCCACATTTGGGGGGGGGGCGTTCTACTTCCTTGAGTCCAACAATTTAAATGCTAGTTACAACCCCCCCAAAAAAGACATACCCAGAAATACTTAATTTGGGCACTCTTTGGCCCAGTCAGAGTGCCACATAAAATTAACTATCACACCCAGCACTCAGAGGTACAAAGTCATTCAGGCCAGAAACCTTGTCTCTGATTTTCTTTATGATTGAGGAAAGAAAGGCTATGTGATTTTATTTATTCATTTATTTTATTTTATTTCATTATTATTTTTTCTGAAACACTATCAGGGGGAGCTATCATAAACCATATAAGCTTATAAGAGAAAAATTTGTTAACAGTGATAGCCTAAGTGTAATAAAGAATATAATTAATTTTAATAATATGTAGACTGCCAAACATATGTTTAAAACTCATGCCAGTTCTTATAATGAGTGTATAGTTTAAATTTTCCATAAATACTCTCCTCAGAGCAGTTTAAACTTCAAAGCAAACTCCAATCAGATCATCATTTAAAAGACCACTTTCTCCCTCTAGTGACCAAGAATGGGAATACTATATTTATAAGCATTAAAAAAATGCCAACAAAATAAAACCAACCAAGAAATGAAAATGGATTCTCAACGTATATGTGTACCAAATACAACCTAGGAGAATATTGGATTATAATACAGATATTATCATCCTTGCATTATGTACAAGGAAACTGAGGTTCAGAGAATCACCTTGATCCATTTCCATTGACCTTAGAGGTTCTCAAGGCCCACAGAAAAGGTATTTATTTTGGCTCATGTGCTTTGAGGAAGATTGTAAAACTGTGATTTAACCCTAAAATAAAGCTAGAGTATCTTTGCTCTGTCTTCAGGCCGCTAGTAAAACATCTGGGTATTTATGAAAATTAGCAGCTTAAATGGCCCTTTTCATTTTTTAATAGAATCATTTCTTCCTGGCCTGTTCTCAAGGAAATTACATTAAATGCAAATCCTGAGAAAGTGAAGCCAACAAGTAAACATTCAGTTATAATGAGGATTAGCAACATATAATATGCATAATTTTAGAAATTAAAATCTCCTGAGATTAAACTTTTGGTAAAGCTTAAAGGCTAAATTTGCAGGCTTACACGTGCCTGAATCACCCCTAAGTAAGGAAAATACAATGTTTTGCTACTTATATTAGTTAAAAGAGGAAATATTGTCCAACTGCCTTGTAGGTGTTGGTCAAAGTACATATACTTTAAAATCTGTAAGGAAAATTAAAATTATCCTTTATTATGTCTTCTTAGGATGGTAGAAATTTCCCTTTCACCTGCTCCTAATTATTTAAATGATCACACAAAATAAAAAGTAACAGTTCACTTTTCTTAAACTGTTTATGTCAGTTATTTAAAAATAGCCATGAATCTGTACATTAAAGGCAGGCCTGTGAATTGCTGAATTCACTTCATACACGAGAAGCTCTATGAGCTGACTTAATAGACAATAACTAACCTTTCTTACTTTTTAGGTAAATATTTTAACAGAGAATAGCTTAGATGCCTTGGAAATTAATTCAGAGCCTTAAAAAAGCCACATTAACACAATTCGTATATGCATGAGTTTGGTCTGCACCTATTCATGCAAGCTAAACCGTTTCCAGACTGAGAAAACTAAAAACATTTTGTAACATATACAATAGAATACCCTTGACTGACCAGCTACATCACAAAGGAGCAGTTAGATCTCGCGCGATTATTAAGATGCGACCGTCCTGTCGTCACAGGTTGCCATAGCAGCAGCATCCCTGGAGTGGAAAAGAGGGGTGGAGCGAGGGGCGGAGCGCCGCTTCTGCAGAGGACGCGCAACGCTCCCATCCTGCAGGTCTGACTTCTGCCAAAATGAACGGCCTGGATGAGGGCTACAACCTTTCGGTCGCTAAAACCTGCGACCTCGAGACTCCCGACCATGCCCCGGGACGTCCGGACCTAAACCAGAGCGAGGCGACAGAGGCGACCCAGGAGATGGCACACGCAGGTGAGCGCAACTTGGAGACCGCTGCGGAGGGAGGCGCGGGCCAGGCCCCCTCGGGCTGCAGCCCTGTTCTCCGCATTCGAGTGGCTGGAAGTCGTGGTGATGCAGCAACTACAGCAGGCCAGAAAGACGCTCCGCCTCCCACGGAGGGCCTGGAAACAGCCTCCGACTCCCCGTCGGTGGCATCCGACAACAGCCAGGAAAATGGCTGTCAGCGTAGAGAGGCGAGTGGCCTTGCTGGGGAGAAATCTCAGGAAGCTTGTGGCGCGGAGGGGCTCGGGTCTCAGCTGTTGCCTGGGGCGAAAGCCAAGGAGGTCATGACAAAGAAGTGCGCCATCTCAGCGACGGCGGAAAAGGAGGGAGAAGCAGAGGAGGTGGCGGAGGAAAAGAAGATGGTACAAAAGGAGAAAAAGGTGGTGGGAGGAGCGAAAGAGGAGACGCGGGCCCGGGCCGCGAAGGGCAATAATTGCATGGACTCGCTGGAGGCCATAGATCAGGAGCTGTCAAACGTAAATGCCCAGGCAGACAGGGCCTTCCTTCAGCTGGAGCGCAAGTTTGGCCGGATGCGAAGGCTGCATATGCAGCGCAGAAGTTTCATCATCCAGAATATCCCAGGTTTCTGGGTCACTGCCTTTCGGAACCACCCTCAGCTGTCACCAATGATCAGTGGTCAAGATGAAGACATGATGAGGTACATGATCAATTTGGAGGTGGAGGAGCTTAAACACCCCAGGGCAGGCTGCAAATTCAAGTTCATCTTTCAGAGCAATCCCTACTTCCGAAATGAAGGGCTCGTCAAGGAATATGAGCGCAGATCCTCTGGCCGCGTGGTGTCTCTTGCCACTCCAATCCGCTGGCACCGGGGCCAAGACCCTCAATCTCATATCCACAGGAACCGAGAAGGAAACACTATCCCCAGTTTCTTCAACTGGTTCTCAGACCACAGCCTCCTAGAATTTGACAGGATTGCTGAGATTATCAAAGCAGAACTGTGGCCCAATCCCTTACAATATTACCTGATGGGTGAAGGGCCCCACAGAGGAATTCGAGACCCAGCAAGGCAGCCAGTGGAGAGCCCGAGGTCCTTCAGGTTCCAGTCTGGCTAACTTCCAACCTGTGGAAAGCGCCTGCACTACTTTCCTTACCACCTCCTCTTGGATTCTGTGCTTAGCCAACAGCATGAAATCTTCCATCTGCTTTCTCTTCACACTGGATCATGTTGTTGATTCTTCTAAATCTTCAATCAGTTGCAAGATTGTCACTTATGTGTCTATGCTCTTCTTCCTCTGGGCCTTTGTGCTGTCCTGCAAAGTGTTGTGTCCCAAGTGCATGGTTTTTCACTGCTTCGTGCCAAGCACCTGATTCTGTAGATACAGACTAACTCCCTTTGCATGCCTTGAGCCCTGTCTGTGACAATGGTCTTTTCCCAGGTTTTTAAGCGGTTACCTACCACAAAGAAACTTGATGTATATCTTTGCAAATAACTAGCTGGGCTTCATACTTAAAGCTGGCTGTGCTCCTGATACCCTATACTCTGTGGCAAGATCTTTGGTTTTCACCATTGGAAGATGAAACTGATGTAGATGATGCCAGCTACCAACCCAAACTGAACATTCCAGGCTACCACTAACTGGTTTCTAGCTGCTTTCCTGGGCCTATGCCATCCAGCCTGCTGGTTATCTGCCAGAATAAGCAGGTGTCTGGTGGGTGGCTTCTAGGCCTGAATGAGGTAGCAGATGAGAGATATACAGTGTCATATCGATCTTATGCCTTTGGTCACTGCATTGTGACCACGTACAGGTGGGTATGGAAGCCTGTGCTGTGGCCTACCCAAACTGGTTTTCAGTCTTTTGACTGAGCCTTGCCTGGGTGCCACTGCTTGCTTCCTCAGGAACTATCTGTGGACTTAAGCACCCAGGCAGCACACAACCTCTGCCCTTCTCCACAATGTTACCTATAAACCCAATTGGCTGTCAAGGAGGTCAGGCAGTCATACGCCCCAGGGCCCAAATCAAGGCTGGAATGGAGATCCTTCCAACAGCCTTTCGCAGTCTTAGCTAATAATTTGCCCTTAATCCAGACAACTTTGTTAAACATCCCCTTCCTAACCCCTCCTATAACTGTTCTGAAGGTAACGAAGTTGCCAGGGTTCGGGCACCTAGGAAGATGTATTTCTCTCTCCTGCTCCCTCTCCCTCTCTCTCCTGCCCTCAGAAGCAGTTACAGTTCAGAAACAAACAGAACTGGCAAAGCAGCTTTTTTGTTTAGCTTGGTGTCCCCTGGTGTTCAGAGGGAGAAAGCTACTGTATAATAGATTGTCCAGACCTCACTGCCGTCTGCTCTCATGCCTCCGCTCCACATTCTTTAGCAAGGTCAGACCTATAGGTAAGTTAATTATGGGCAGTGTTCTTTTAGGTCAACTTTGACAACCCCTCCCTTCCCCCCCTATCTAAATTTACCAAAACCTCCTGTGTGTTTTTTGAGCTTTAGTTTGAGAAGCTGGGAGGAGAGACCGAAGGGCTGGCTTCACAGTGCTGGGTTCAAGAGAGACTCAGCAGGTTGTGATTTAAAGCGACCAAGTTAGCTCGACTCTACTTCTCTGAAGATGGAATTTTTTTTTTCCTTTTTTTTTTGGTGGGGGTTGGAGTGGGCCTTGGACCACTTACCATCCCATGGCAGCATAACCCTTGTCTTCTGTACTATTTTATTGTCGCCCTGATGTCCCAAAGGCCTCCCTCCTGCCTGGCCCTTGGCTGTCAGTCCGCAGCTTCCCCATTTCATTCTCTGCTTCTGTCCTAACAAAAGAGGGAGCAGGCCACTGCCTGCATTGTGGCAGATGTCAAGCCTTCCTCCTAGGGGCTAGGGAGATTTGTGGCCAGAGTCTGTCTAGATTTTCAGACCAAGTTCCGGTAGGTGGGACAACAGGGCTGCCTTATGGAGGAGTATGATGGTGCTGATGACATTCACCATTATCCTTTCTTCTGTCTTTTTGGAGGCTTTGCCCTAAGTTCCCCAGGGCTTCTGAAGTCTGGACACAGAGCATGGGAGGGTGCTCTGGGCTGGAGAAACTGAAACCTGGAAACAAATGTCTTGGAAAGGCCCTCGGGGAAAACTGGAACCCTGCAGGGTTGTGGGTGGGGGGGAGGAGGGGCGTGCCCAGGACTCTTCCCAGGGGAAGTGAGAGAATCCAGTTGATGTTTTAAGAGGACACTTGGAAGAGGGGTTTTCCCCCAATTTTCCCTGTATCTTTTAATTCACCAGATTTTTATATCAAACATGCAGGTCTAGATGTTTTTTATTATTCTAGGAGTGACCTTTTATATCTGGAAGATTGATGGTACCCGCTTACTTCATTATGAGTAAAATCCTATTCATTCCTTTCTCCATTTTTGCTTGCTGGCAAAATTTACATTTACAGGCCTGCTTTTGCTTGTAATTGAGAATGTGTGTAAAAATATCAAACTTGTTTCCTGTGCAGTATGAAGACTTCTGTGAATATTAATATATCAGCTTGTTCTGGTCTCTTTTCATATATAGCTCTATCCTTAGAAATATAATTTGAACAATGTAATCTATGAAGAGCCTGAAATTTTGCAAATGTTGCTGTCTTGTGGAAGTAATCTCAAGAAAAACATAATTGTCTTATATTTCTTGCCCTAGAAGTAATGTGGTACTTGAGACTTTGTTCCTACTCAGTGTAAGTATCTGTAGAATTGCTGTCACACTAAACAAGGACCTTTAGTACTTTTGTCTTCTATGTGCTTGAAGGAAAAATAAAATCTGCCACTCTGATGTAGTTCTTGTTTTCACCAAAATAAAAATTAATAAAGTTCTATCTATGTTGTCTAGGTTATTATAAGGTTGAGAAATTATTAAAATTATCAAATGGTGACAGTAAGCATCATCCTGAAGATTAAAAGAGGTAACAGCAACCAAACATAGTAAGATTTTTTTTTTGCCATGGAAAATGGCAAAATAGGCCCACTGCAGCTGCATACTCATGAACATTTTTTCTTTACAACCAGGGGAGTTTTTGGCGGAAATTAAAGCGCCATGTGTTGATCTGTCACTCCTTGTTTTCTGTGTCACATCCTTGTTCACTATATTCGTGTTAACCCATCCCCTTCCCCTGCCCTGGTCTCATTCTTTTCTTAATGAGCTTAAAATAGACCTTTGGAAGAATTAACCATTGTGTACTCTTTAAGTGCTACCTAAATTCTTTTCCTACAACATTGGGTACTTTACAGGGGAGAAAAAAGGTGACAAATATAATGTCTAGAGACAGGTAATTTCAGGCATCACAATTTCAGCTGTGAGGACTGTTTTGCTATCCGGCAGCTATGACACGAAGGTATGGGAGGTGACTACTTCTGCGCTCTCCAGTAGAGAGGGCTGTGGATGCTGCAAGACATGACCAAGTATTAGCCATCTAAAAAAAATGTTGACAAATGGTCCAAAGTTACTGATGTGAGTTAGAGAAAAATCTACAGTTAAACTGACTTGCTGACTCTTGGGGCAAGTCTTTCTTGCAAGTTCTAATTGCTGAAGTATAATTTTTCTAGGCTGGAGAACTTTAAGTATTAAAGAGCTAAATTTTGTTTTACAAGTTCTACACCCATCTTAATCCTGAATTCCCCTTACAGGGTTCATTTTACTTTTTCAATGCAGTGACAGATTGCTGCATTGTCCATGACCTGTTTTAGGCATTCTCTCCCTTATCCTGTTCTGGATATAATAAAAAAGTGTAATTTTGTTGTCCTTGGTTTATTATCTCAGCTTCAGTCTAACCATTAATATTTATTTTTCTGTTAGGCAGGCACCATTCGTTTGTCGGAGATTAACATGCTTTCTGTTCTGTGTAGTCTGATATTAGACTCAATTAGGCATTCTCTAGGCAATTAGGCATTCCCTAGACTGTACTTACTAATTGGTTTACTCCTATAGCCCTGTTTTATTTCCTTGCATTGCACCTTTTTGTTTTTCTTCCTCAATTTTATACACAATTTTATTCTTTATGCAGACCTCTAAAACAGCTGAGAGGTTCTCTCATCCTAAAGAAGAACCTATTATTTTGGTCTGCACAGGCCATACTGCCCTGTGAGTAGTAGTGGCATCTTCATGGTTTCCCTGGTCCTGACATAACAATCTTGCCATTTCTAGGCATTCAGCTCAGACACCAACAGGCCAGACCACCCACAAAAGGCTTCTTTGACCTTCCTTACTCAGCTGTCCCTCCCCATTAGTCTTGCAGCTGCTTCTGCTTTATCTCCAGTTGAATTGTTTCCTTAAATCAGTTTTCATTATTAAAAACAAACCCAAATGACCTGTATTCCAAATTATTCCACTCCCTGCCCCACGGAGTCACAATCTGAGCCTGGGATGTCTGATTTTGCTTCAGATACACATTCCCTGGTTTGACAACCTCAAGATGTATCAGGCATTTCCACGTCTGTTCTCACGTTAACTTCATAATCCTGACATAAGTTTTACTATTTCCATTTAAGTAGTGAAAACAGAGGTTCAGAAAGTTGAAGTAAATCGCCCAAGTGACACAGACTTAAGTTTCCTGATTTCAGGCTCTCTTCTATATCACAGAACTACTGAAAATGGCATAAAAACAAAACCTGACTGATGTGCATACACATGTGCAATGGGTTCTTAACCGAGTCATGAATGGTTTCTGAAAGGTATTTTTTATCACTTATTTTAATTAATAGGGGATTCCACATCACAGATTAAAACACTCCTGTATGGGAGTGCATATTTACATATGTAATCTTGATGGTTGCTGCATAAAGGAGTGAGATGAACAGTTTGTTCCTTTCATCAACGGAAGTATTGGGTTGGCCAAAAAGTCCTTACGGGTTTTTTCTGTGAAATAAGAGACATTTTTCATTCTGACCAATAACAACGTTGGTTTGCATATTTTAAGTATGTCAGCTATCCCCCCCATGGTATAATGTGGATTGTTTTCATTTAATGCCATGATTTGATCACTATCAACTTCAACTGGCCTCCCCAACCGTGGAGCATCGTCCAGTGAGAAATCTCCAGCGCACAGCTCTGTAAACCACTTTTGACACATTTGATCAGTCATGGCACCTTCTCCACACACTGCACAACTCTTTTGGGGGGTTTCAGTTGCATTTTTACCTTTTGAAATAGTAAACCATGATATGCTGAAAATAATGTGTATTTCCTTCCATCTTCAGTATTAACATCTACACAAAAATTTACCAATTTTGACAAGTTTTTTAAAAAAATGCACACTGATATGACAGCTGTCACAATAGAATCTAACAAAATTGTTTAAAATGAAGTTAAAGATAGCTAGGTGCTAGATCCATCTTATGGAAAAAAAACAAATGAATCCATCTTATGGAAAAAAAACAAATGAATTTTTGGCCAACTCCATTAATGCACCAAAAGGAGTTTAAATATAAAATTTAGCTGTTAAGAAATATAAAGAAATATATCTATTAAACTTAGAAACTATTCTTAGAATATATTTTAATTCAACAAGGCGATTCCTTTTAGCTGGCACTTAGGAATGTATTCCCTCTCTAATTCATTAAACTTTGTTAAACTTTATTAAGCTTTGATCTTTACCAAGAAATTACCAAGGCCAAAGAACCAAGAAAGTTTTGTTGTGTTTTCTTTAGTTTTTTAAATGAGTCTGAGAACAGGTGCCTGGTACAAGAACCTGACTGTCAAGCATTCTGTGCTGTTGTAATTCTTTTAAGTAATGACCCAAATTCTCCACAGACCCAGATAGCTCATCTTCCACTAAGTTTATCTGGACTAGTTTTTATTTTTCCTTCTCCATTTTGGTTTCCTCAGCATGAGAGAGGGAAATTTGCTAAGTACTCAAGGTGAACATTTGAACCTTCCTATGAAGAAAGAGTAGACCTGCTTATTGATGCCTTTAGCCTATGTCTCTTCCGAGAGCAGTCTTCATTATATGCTGCAGGAATCCTGTGATTGCTGGTTCTCTGTTTCACTCTTCCAGCTAAGTTCTATGTTATAGATATGTTTTAATATTTTTGATAAAATTGTAAGTGACTTTAGGACAGAACCTGTATTCTCATTTCTCATCTCTTATATGTCCTAGCATGGTGTGATTATGAAGTTGAAGTGTGGTTTTAGATTAAGAATTTGCTCCATTCTGGAACCAATGTTGGACAACTTTACCAGTCAACTAAAAGCATGCTTTTTGGTGTCAAACTTGGGCTCATGTACAGACTCTGTTTCTTAGTAACCATACAACCTGGAGGGATCATAGGTGGTTGCTCTGGGAGTAAATAAGACACACCAAGTAGCCTGGCAGGGAGTCGGCACTCATTACTATTATATTTTTACCATATTTATGAGGACAATTCTAGAGACCATCAAGAATTTGCCTTTTTGAATTCATCCTATGTGGACTGAACCATGCCCAAGGGTTTTCAAGGGCAGCAACTGTTCCACACTAGGTGTGTTTTCTCTCAAACATACCCCAGTCTTGCACTAATCTCGAAGCCATCTCTATGACAACCTTGTTATCAAGAGCCCAAGAAGAGGTAAGCCATGCTACTGCAACATCACATTAAAAAAAAAAGTTATTCATTTCAGTTATATCCAAGGATATAGTTTGACATTCCACTTCATGCTGGTCTGTTATATAAAATAATCACATAGATTATTTTTTTTGCATTTGAACAAGTTCATTAAAAGTATGTGTATAAATATAGACATTATGTATGCTTTAAGTATGTATATAACGTTATTGTGGGATGTGAACTGGGATGGAAGTAATACTTGATTTCAATTTAGAGTTTAACAAACTCAGTACTTGAATTTTATGTGGTAATTCTAGGTTCATTGAAGTCTTTTCTGCCTTGATATTCTAAACACCCAATTCTGAAAAATTATTTGACGGTGGTGCCATTTGGGTCTTTCCTCTGCAGGTGAGATCGACAGTGGCCAGCAGAATCTCAGTACCTTCGACAATCATGTTTAGGTATCTTTTAAAAGGATGATGAGTGTTTGCCTGTATACTAAGGTGAAACTTAAGTCTTCTGCCTACTTGCACAATTTTCCTGCTTTGCTACTCATGACTTTACTTAGAATATATAGCTTTCTTCTCTAAGATTCTCTTTTAAATTTTTATATTGCTATTTTTGGATGATTTTAAATCTTCATGTCCAATTAGAAACACTGGCATTTTTAGAAGTGAAATAAACATTTTAATTACAGCATTCATTATTATCACTGACTGACCCTTAGAAAGGTGAAGCGAACTTGGAAATAAATTCTAACCTCCTCTTTTCACAAGGTGGGAAAAACAGAGGTCAAATTAGGTGGTTAAAATTATTCCGATTCTTCAGGTAGATACTAGTAAAAGTAGGATTAGAACTTCCTGAATGAATTTTTTTTTCCACTCTGTAGTGGCCTGAAAAGTGCAATTAACTTTTCGGGGTTCTCATTTTTCATATTAACAATAGTAGTTTATATGCATTTAAAGAGGTATGGTTCTTTGCCATTTACAAAATAAACACGTGTAAGGAAAAATAAATTTACAAAACAAACACGTGTAAGGAAAAATAGCTTTATTTTTGAAAGAAATCAAGTGTGCACTGCAAGTATACAGGAGACAGCATCTGTCACTTAGCCCTAAGCTTGATTTGTGTGCTCATCATCATATTCCACTGAGATCTGGAAATCAATTCCAAACACATTATTATATTCTTATTAGATATCAAAGAAAGTTACTGACTTTGAGAAAATAATTTCAGTAACTGTTTACTTACCCTGAGATACTCATCCCCACCATAGATTTGGGACTATTTTTGAGCATTTAACATTTTTAACAAAATATTTATCTTTTCTTTGTAGGTATCAATATGCTAAATTCTCTGTTACAGTCCAACTAAAACAGTGATGGTGATCAGTGTGTTTTCTGTCATTGTTCATGACGAACAGTGAAATTACAACATAAAGAGGAGCCAGGGTTTATATTGTAAACATTACCTGCCTCCCCATGTCCTGCAATGAACAACCATGAATACGACTGCATAGCACACAGAACACAATAATCCCAGAAGGTCAATACAACGATGAACTCTTCCAAAGCAGTTTTACTCATTTTTTTCATCACTGCCTGCCCCACCTAAGGAGAAAAATTTCACTCAAATTTAATGAATAAATTGAGCTTTACATTATATTTCTCCTTAATGAGAAGTAGTAATACTATGGAATAAGACTTTTTGGGTAATGTTGAGCTTTGGAGGGCTAGAATCCATTGGGCTCTCTCTTATTTTTTTCACCTTAAGAACCTTTCTTTTCCGTTTTGAGAATACATGCTTTAAAGTGAATGGAAATAAATTAAACAGACTTTACCATTATTGGGGGGAACCCTAACGGGCAACGTTGGAGGCTGAAGTAGCAGGCTTCTGGTGTCATCTCTGTCCCACACTGGCTGTGTGGCATCAGAAGAGATCACGTCTCCATTCCTTGCTTTGGAAAACAAGAGAACAGCATAAAACTTGATAACCTGGAAAAGTCATTCACTCTCATTGGACTCAGTGTCCTTGGGTATAAAAGGGGTCAGTACCCCTCTTTATCCCCAGACCCAATGACCCAGTCTCTGGTGGTTATGGTCAAGCCAGTGGCTCTCAAACTTTAGTGTGAATCACATGATTATTAAACACAGGTTTCCAGAGTTTCTAATTCCGTAGGTCTTGGGTGTAGCCTGCAAATTTGCATTTCTATCAAATTCTCACATGATGCTATGATAGTGGTTTGGGACCACACTTTGAGGGCCACTGGCCTAGGCTTAGGTGTAAATATGTGTGTGTCTCAGGGTGAATTCTAATCTCAGAGCAACTGGTATACAAAATAGTGGTAAGATTCTTTTCAGTTCTAAGATACTGAGATCTTGATATAATCAGAGTTATTGGGTATCTAGAGAAAGAGGATCTGTGGAAAAAAAACAATTCATCAATTTTCATTAAGAATTTGTTCCTATAAAGCACGTTACAGTATTTTTTTTAAAATTAACATTTTCACAGTACATTAGCTGCATATATGGTTCTTCACTTCCTTTTTCAGTAGAGATCAAGTTATTTGGTTGTCAGTGATTCGCTGTTTGCTAAGACCAGTGGAGGACCTGGGTAGTAACCAGCTGTTTTTGAGTTGCTTGAGGAGAACCTTGTGAATTTGTAGTCCAGGGGTAATTCTGGAAAACAAAACAAAATACAACAAGTTAACCACTGTGCCATTCAGATCTCTCCTCTGCTGACGAGATCGACAGTGGCCCTTTCCTTCACGTTACGGGGCTGATTTCTTTAAAAGGAAAATCATTGGTGAAAGGAAGACATATATTTAGGTTATCTTTCTTTAATGTTATATATGTAAGCATGGAACAAAACGAAAAAAAAAAATAAACCATTTGTTTGAAACCAATGGGAACGAGATATTTGAATGATTAGGATGTACTGACATACACTGGATTGCTATACTGTCATAAAAGAAGGACCTTTTGCAAGGTCATACATATGTTAAGGTCGTTGTTGTTGTCGTCATTGTCGTCATCATCATCATCAGATAAATATCTTGCTTTTTCATTCACATCCCTCCTGTGAGGCAGGAAATGCAGTCTGGTGTTGTCATCCCCAGTTTAAGAAAGAAGAATCTAAAAAAGTTCAGACTTTCACTTCTAAACTGGAGCTGAGACAATCAGAAAAGCTGGATGAGATGTAAACATCAGAGTGAAGTCACCAGAGAGCTGAAGAAACAACCAAGACCTGAGAACACAGGATTCCTGGGAAGGGGGAGCAAGCAGAAACGAGAGCCTATCCTGCCACAGCTTTTCCCCTTAGGCACTGAATTCTGTCTGGGGGTAGGGACAGTTACTAGCACAGAAAAACCAGTAGAGCATTTGTCATCTTTAAGGACTGCAGAAAAAAACTGAGGGAGTTTTAAGGAGGGGCTGAAGAAACAGACTCAGCTGGTTTTCTCCTCCAGCCCTTCCCCCAATTCCACGGGGACCTTCAGGAAGCTATGAAGCAGAAGCACACACCTCTGTAAAGCGGGGTGGGGTTTTCAGCAGTTTCTTGGTGCTGAGAAACAGGGAGGAATTAACTTCTGAGAGAGGAAGGGGGGGCCCAGGTGAGTATCTCAGATTTTCAGTCAATATATTTCTGAAAACAGAATTTATTATTATGAAGTGATTATCTTTCATGTTAATGGATATATTTTTCCTTAATATCTACTTGTTGGGAACCGCCCTGACTGGTATCAGAGGCTGAAACCCCCGCCTAGCTAAGGCTAAGGGAACGCCCTTGGAACTGTAAGCCAGCAAGGAGACAAAAGCTTATCTTCCTGGCAGGAATGCTGCTTCTGCTGCTGAACCCCAAAAAGCTTGGTCGGTTAGCCAAAGACGGGTAAGATTCCCCACGGGGGGAACGACCTAAGCCAGGCACAATCACTTTGGGAGGCCCCCCCGAAAGAAGGACTTGGGGGGCCGCAGCAAAAGGGGGTGATGGACCCTCGCTCCTTGGCTTTGACATAGCCTGAGTTCTCAGCGTCTGGGAGAAAATCTCCTTATCTCTTGGTTACCTAGTTCCCTTGCTCCACCTAAGCCTGAAACAATGACAGGGTGTTGCAGCTCGGTACTGAGAAGTGTGGATTCCCTGGGTGATCAGGCCTAAGAAAGAATATGTAAATTACTGTGAAACCTTCTTTGTTTAGAATGCTCTCAGTTGAATGAGAAGGGTCTTAGGAGGAAGTTAGTTTGTTCCTCAGTCTTACAGCTCTTTGACCCCAACTCAATAGACCGGCAGAGTTCTTTGTTTTCTATAGTTCCTTACTTCCCCTAATGAGTACTGTACTTTACCTGAATTATTATGCAGAATGAGCCTAATAAAAGCAGGTATGGACTGTAAATCGGTGCGCTCCCCACTAGGGGGGGTGGCCATTTCGTCCCTACTTCCCCACAGAAACTAGTTTGTCTCTGTGCATGTGGTGTTTTTTCTCGCGTGTTTATCGTCGAGCCATCCACAGCGTTCCGTGGTCACTGCTGGCCGGTGACCCACGTGCAACATCTACTTTGTTTCATATCAGTACGGCGAGCTCTAACTTTCTTTTGATTGGTGTTACTGTGGTATCTCTTTCCATCCTTTGACATTCAAACTTTCAGTGTTCCTGTGTTCCAAAGATGTCTCTTATCAACAGTCCATAGTCAGGTTTTATTTCACTCAGGATTTTAATTGGAGTATTTAGTCACCTACATAGAATGTAATTACTCAAGTTAAATCTATCATTTTACTGAATGTTCTCCATTTGTCTTGCTTATTCTTAAAAAAAAAAAAAAGATTTTATTTATTTTAAGAGAGAGGGGAAGGGAGGGAGAAAGAGAGGAAGAGAAACATTGATCAGATGCCTCTTGCATGCCCCCAGTGTGGGGATGGGGGCCTGGCTTGCAACCCAGGCATGTGCCCTGACTGGGAATTGAACTGGGGACCTTTTGGTCAGCGAAACAACGCCCAACTCACTGAGCCACACCAATAAGGGCAGTCTTGCTTATTCTTAATATTCTTTTTTCTCCCTCCCTTTTTTAAATTTTAAAGTTATTTTACATAATTAGTGCAGGATGTGTAGTATTACAAGTCTTTTGATCACAACACGTATTTTTCACTTACCACTATCATACTCTTATCCTTTATCATATAATACAAGGATTTAAATACATGAACTCCAGCTGCCTCCCTTTGGGATTTATATGCCATTATTGTCATGTTTTTAAAGTCTCCATTTAAACTCCATAGGACTTAACTGTTTTATTGTTTTCAACAGGAAACATTCATTTTAATTTATTTACGTCTCTATCCTTTGTTGCTGTACATTCCTTCTCACACGTCCAATTTCCCAACAGGGACCATTCTTTCTTTTGCTTAACAATACCCTTTACTGTTTGCTTTAGTCTAGGTCTTCTGGAGATACATTTCCTCCATGTCAGCCAGTCTGAAAATCTTTTGACCTATTTTCTGGTGTACTAATTCACTTTTCAGCTGTGTCTAATCTGGTGTTAAACCCACCCATTAAGTTCTTAATACTTCAATTTTAAAATTTCCATTCTTTTTATAATTTTATATCTCTACCAAATCTCTCATTTCTGTACTTGACCATAGTAAATTTGGTTATTTCTGTTAGCCTCATATTCTTGTGTGCCTGCCTATTTTTCATTATATGCTGGAGCTTATATTGTTTTTAGAAGTAACCTGAGTTCTAGAATGTTATATTCCTCAAGAGAATATTCATCGGTTTCTACAAGGTACCTTGGGCCATAATCTATCTAGACTCTTCTGAATCCCATTTTAGAGATTCATCTGATTTAAAGCTGAGCTTCAGTCCTATTACTAATTCATCCTTACTCTGAGCCAAACTCTTTCGGGGTCTCCACACAGACTGAGAGTCCCCCCACCCAACCATCTGCTGGCAGGCTCAACCCTCTGTCTTCCATCCCTGTAGGCTCACGAAGCTACTAAAAGGCCCCCTCCCATTCTTTGTGTTCTCTGTTGACTCAGAAACGGGGGTGAGCAGCCCCCACCCTCAGCCCCCTTACTTGGCCTTCTGAGCTTAGCCTCTCATCCTGGTAATTTTTCCCTACCTTTATCCTAAGATGCCAAACAGATTAAAAAAAAAATGTCCAGCTTTTGTCGTTGGCTCCAGGAGACGGGCGGGCCCTAATTACCTAGAATGCCATATCTAGATGTTTCCCAGAAAAACGAATGTCATGGAAAGATTTCTCTTTTTTAAAAAAGCAAGAATTCAGTAATTAAGGTCATTATTGTCCAGTAACAGGCAAAGACTTATAGGTATTTTCCCCTTTACCTGCTATTGCTTCAATACTTGGAATTGCAATAGTGCTGTAAGTACTGATTCTCTTGCAGGACCATGTATAGACGGACGAGTCTCCTGTATTTTCCAGTCCCGAAATGGAGTCAACAAAAAAAGAGCCCCATTTATTAGATAATGAATACAGAGGCTTTGCCTTCTGTCCCTGAAAGAAGAGAACAGAACAATGAAAACTGTGATTAATGTCCAATCTCATTAGAAGTTTTCTCCCACCAAGTAAATCAAAATAAAAAATCTGAAGGAATTTCAGTTGTTTTTCTTAACCAAACTATATACCATACAAAAAGTAAAGGATCAGACTTCCTTTAAAGTGTCCTCCCCTGGCTTTGTGTGGAACTCCTTCGCATCCCTGGAATCGGGCCCAGATGCTGTCTAGCATGTTTTCCTTGACCTCTGCACTTAGGTCGGGTGAGGTCCCTCCTCCATCTTCCTACACCCTGAGTTTATGCCTATTGTCTCACAACTATCATACTGTACTTTCCAGCCTTCACAGCTGAATAACTACATAAGGCTAAGAAACTTTCTTATGTATTAATGCATCCCTATGGATTAGTGCCTAGGACAGAGCAAAGACAATAGAAATTGCAGACTAAATTAAAGACCCATTCAAAAAGTACTTCAGTATTTTATAAACATGGCATAAAATTAAGAATTGAAAAAAAATCCTATCCCATCCACATAAACTGGATTATAAAGATCTGTGTCATTCTTTTGTAATGTAAATGTCATTTCGGGGCTCACAGAATCCCAAATATGCCTCTAGATTCACAATTCTTCGTCCTAGAACTCACTTTGTGAAGCAAGATGAGAATATACGTTTGCAGGTGATGGTGTTTGACAAGCATTCAGTAAGAATCTATCTGGATTCACCAAAGACATTTAAGAGCAGAATTAGAATGTGAATATCCATACTCATGTGTGTACATTTAAGGTGTATTTCAATATCATTTCTCAATGTCTAAGCAGCAATTCATAGGGTAAATTTTATTTAGTTAATTATCTTTTCCAAAATAATAAGTCTAAGAAGAAGTGATGCACATCACACATGTAGAAAATGGCCTGCAAACAAGTGATAGAATCTAGGCTCCTCCCTGTTCCTACGAAGAGAGGAAAACAGAGCTATCTACCCTTTCTGTTCAATGTAATATGGGTGTAACATGGTCTACATAGTTGTGTTCCTCCAGAATTCGTAGGTTGAACGCTTAACTTCCAAGGTGTTATTAGGAGGCAGGGTCATGAGGGTGGAGCCCTCATGAATGGGGTCAGTGCCCTTACAGAACAGATTCCAGGAGCTAGCTTCCCCCTTTGGGCGTGTGAGGACATGAGGGTTCAGTGAGAAGAGGGTGGTCCCTGAGGAAGCAGGTCCTCACCAGGCACTGAACTGACCCGCCCCATGATCTTGGACTTCCAGATTTCAGAACAGTGAGAAATAAATGGTTGTTATTTATCAGCCAGCCAGTATATGGTATTATAGCAGCCCAAACAGACTAATAGATGTAATCTGTTCATCCTGATGTTGGGGTTTTTAATTATGCTTTTTCTCAGGTATATCATTAATCAAAAGAAATCACACTGTTTTTTTAATCTTTACCCGAGGACCTGTTTATTGATTTTAGAGAGGGGGGAGAGAGAAAGAGAAACATCCATGTTAGAGTAAGAGATCGACTGGTTGCCTTTCATATGCTCCCTGAGTGGGGACGGTCTGTGCCCTCACTTGGGACCGAGCCCACAACCTGAGTTTGTGCCCTGATCGAGAATTGAACCCCTGACTTTTCGGTTTATGAGATAATGTTCCAATCAACTGAAGCTGAGCCACACCGGCCTGGGCTGATGCCATTTTTCTGAACATCAGCAAGAAGCACTCCTATTTTTGTTCAGGACTTTACCAAGTTCCTGTCTTCTCTTCTCTCTCTCTAGTCTCTCCCTGTAGACATTCATCTGTGTCCCAATCTTCCTAAGAATATGGTACACACCAACTGAAAATGTACCTGTCCTTCAATGTTTACTTCGCATTCTACACTTTTTATGAAATTTTCCCTAATTCTCCTCAATGAAGTTTCCACTGTGCCCCGTTTAAAAGTTATTTTTTAATAACTCGCATCCTCTCCAGGCAGTTATGCTTTATTTGCGTATTCCAGTTCCCACCCCCTTTATCCTCAGACCATAATACATTCTGTAAAAATGAAGTGTGTAGGACCCAACGATAAGTCCCCGATAAACTTAGCAGTCAGTCTTGCACAAATTAAAAACTCAGCATGCACACATGGTCAACAAGAGAACAGGGTTCGAGTGGCTATCTCCTGAGTGAGTGGCCTGAGATATCTCTGCCAATCCAATAAGCTCTTACTTACGTCAGCCACTTAGGATAAACATTTCGTGTGTTCTGAAATACATGGAGTTCAATAGGAAGAAACATTATTTCTTTTAATTTTATCTTGGGAACTAAAATTTTCAAGCTGTTGACTCACCATTTCCAGTCTAGAAGTCAATGATGATTCTTTGTTTATGGTGTGCTCATAACTAATTAACAAGAAAAAAGGGGTCTGGTGGAGGGAGGGGGCTACTGTGGGCACCCCACAGAGGCACTGTTCCCACTGATTGCTCATTTTCTCATCACTGCATCTCCATTCTCAATCATTTGAAGAAACCAAATCTCTCTGTAGTGAAAGCCTTTCCCAAAATCACTCAGGTTTGCTGGAAGTTGTTTGAAAGCCCTTTCTTAACTCCAGTAGTCCAAAGAACTTCCCATGTCACGTTGAAGACTGATGGCTGCTCAATGGAAACCTTGTAGCAACCTGACTCCCTTATCCTAACATTTTGTTGGACCTCGTTATAGTTATTTTTTTCTTTTAATAATACATTCTATTTTAGAACAGCTTTAGGTGGACAGATAAATAGAGCAAAAAGTACATAAAATTCTTATATGTTCCCCTCCTGTCCCACATCCTCCTCTGCCTCTTCCATTATTAGTATCTTGCATTAAATGTTGTACATTTGTTACAACTGGTTAACCAATACTGACACATTACTATGGACAAAAATCCATAGTTTACGTCCGAGTTCACACTTCGAGTTGTGTAGCTCTATGGGTTTTCACAAATGCCTAATGGCACATGTCCCCCATTACAGGACCACGAAGAGTAGTTTTACCACCACGGAAGTCCTGTGCTCCATGTGCTCACTCCCCTCCCCTCAAACCCCGGGCACTCACTGCTCTTCTTACTCTTGGGGGATATTTTTCCTCTTCCCAGGCTCTCATCTGGTTGGAATCAGACAGGATGTAGCCTTTTCAGATTAGCTTCTTTCCCTCAGTAATGTGCACTTAGGTTCTTCTATGTCTTTTGGTGGCTTGATAGCTTATTTCTTTTTATTGGCATTTTTTCATCTGATATTGTTCTTTGGGCTTGAGGTTTTCCTTCTTTATAATTGTTCCACTGGGATGAATTTGGAAGTATCCATTTTACTTTTTGATCTTTTCTGCTTAATATTATTTTCCCTTTCTAGATTCATGATACCTTTTACTTTTCTTTACCTCATGTCTTCACCTAAGTTCATTCGGGAGGCTCAGGAGTTAAGTCTAAGGGAGCTACTGATCTGGTTAAGTTAGACCCATCAGGAGAGCACAAGAGCTTCTTTGTAGCCAAGGAGAAGAGAAAGGGTGTAACTATAGTGAGTTAGGATCCAGCAGCCTCAGCACCACCCAAAATCATCCATGTTGCCACAGCGCTGGATGGAAGCAGAGGGCAGGGAAGACAGACCTGTGTTATCTTGGCATCATTTAAAAATTATCAACAAGATCAACTATAGAGCGGAGACAGCAAGACCGCAATAACTGCTAACAGATTTCATCTCTGGGCATAAACAAGCCCTTTGTAAGATAAGAGGAGAAAGCACTAAAAGGAACCCTTACCTCATATTTCCCCTTCTTCTCTAGGGGCTCTGATTCCTCAGGCTTCCAGTCCCTGTCGCCTCTGAGCTCCTCCAGGATGAGGACGGTCTCCCAGTTACTATAGTGACGGGCTGGGAAAATATCTGAGTGCATGCTGTCCCCAAAGTAAACAACCTGTGGGTCAGACAGACAGTTCTGTTTGAGGCATTAGAATCGTGAAAGAGTGGTGGTCATTTCACGGAAGACAAAACAATTCTCCTAAAAGTTGTATAAGCATCTTAAACTCCCTTGAATAACTTTACAGGTGACCATCAACTTGCCCCATTTGGTTTGCAGCGTGCCAGGTTTATTTTAAGAAGTTACACAATGCATGTGCAGACAGAAAAAAGGCAGAAAATAAGTGATTTTGATCATTTTTTTCCTGGAGAATCGAGAATCCATATGTGCCCAGGTAAACCTGCCCCGAGAACCGAAGAGCTGGTGAGATATTAGAGGCGACTGTCACAGGGGGCTAGATGAGCCCAGTGCATGCCACAGCCACTGTCACAAAGCTCTGGTTCTGCTGCAACAGAATTTCCAAGAGTGGGGGTGGGTGAGTGGACTCTGCGAAGCTCCCCTGGTATTCGGAGACTATGATATCCACTGATCCAGTCCACATGCCTTTTACAGGTGAAAACTCGAGGTAAAGGGAGTTGTGAGTTAGAAACTCCAAGTCCAAGTGCACTGTCCACTGAGCCCCTCAGGCGTTCCTAGGGGGCTGTCGCAACACGGGAGCCAATGGAGCAGGGCTGATACCCACCGACCTCTCCTGATCTCTCACAGGGCTCCTGGGAAACATTTTTCAGATGAGGGGTCCTGTTGTTAAAAATGCACCGGTGTCTAACATCAACCTCGTGACCAGGATGGTGTCAAAAGCAAGTGGGTCTTTAGGCTAGTCTGTCTGCATTGTAAATTCAGTTATTGCTTATTTTACACATAAAATCTTTCTTTAGGGATCATTACCAACATATCATTCCTCCGATATCCTGCACACTAATCTGGTGCATCCCCTTGATCTACGGCCCCTTGCCTTGAATTTCTGCTCTTCTCTGTTACAGAAAAAGACCTAGTCTACACGAACAAAGGAAAGGCCCAGTCTCCTTAACCAGAAGAGGTAAGAGAACAGATTGGAAGATAAGCAGAGGCAGATTATTTTTCCCACGGATAACTACGCTAAATGCATTCAGAGTCATGGTTTTACTTTATAATGGTTTGTGTCTGCAAGTAGGCATCAAGGACTCCACCTCCGGAGGAAAATACCTTGGGTTCAGGTTTGCCAGTCATTTTCTTCAGAAGTTCATAAAGGTGGACAGCATTCCCTTGGGAGTACCAGCCAGGTTTATCCAGAGATGGCAGTGCCTCCTGCTCTTCGTCATCCTCTGAAAATACAGTTTGACAATCATGTACCTTTTAGCCGGATGAGCGCACCCGATCAGGCAGACCACACTCAGGCATGGCTCCAGCACCTGTATAAGAAGGAACCTTGTGGGGTGGGGGGGAGTCAGCAGTTCAGTGAGCCCCTACTATTATGAGCACTTTGCAAACATAGAAATAAATGATATTTGTGTGTGCAAAATTTTAACAAAAACTTGTGGAATGGAGTAAGTACAGATATACAGCAGGTATAGACTGCAACAAATATGAAAGGACTTCAGATAAAAACTAGAGTACTTAGTTATGTACTTAAATATAAGTTTGTGAAGAGAGAAAAACATAACAATTTTTTTCTGGCTTAATACAAAGAGTATTATTTGAATCCTTCATAACAGACTGTTTCTTAATAGTAAGGATTTCTACTAGACCAGGGCTGCTTCACCTTGACACCACTGAGGCTTGGGAGCAGATGATTCTTTCCTGGTGGCAGCAGGGTGCTGTCCTGTGTACAAACAGCAGGCTGTCTAGCAGCATCCCTGGCCTCTTCCCACCAGATGCCAGCAGCATCCTGCCTCCCAAGTTGTGACAACCGAAAAATGTCTGCAAACATTGCCAAATTTGTCCTGAGGAGCAAAAGTTTCACAGGTAAAAGCCAGTATCCTAGACCATTTCATTAGCATATATGCATATCCTGATATTTTCAGTTAAAAAATAATACCACATGATTTTGATCCTACATTGTTTCAGCTCAAACCTCAATTCTTTGTCGTCACAGCTAAACTCCTGGAAAGAGGTGTCCATGCTCACTGGTTCCACTGTCTTCAGTCAGCCCTTCCAGAGACTGCCGTCTGCTCTCCCTCCCACTGCTCGTCAGGACACCGGCCATCTCCGTCCTGCCTGCTACCAGGGGCTTTTCAGTAGCACTGCCCTGAGGACCACTCGCCTCTTTCCTCTCTGGCTTCTGAACCCTGCACTCTCCTGTTCCCCCCACTACACTCTGTCTGCTCCTGGACCGCTCTCTTCTTTGTCCTTCATGTCCGAGTGTGTCAAAGCCTGGTCTGGGTCTTGTGCCTATCTACCTTCTCTCCGTATCTGATCTCGTGTGAGCCCGTGGCTTCAGTACCTCTCTCTGTGCGGAGGCCTCCCCAGTTTATGTCCTGAGCCCACACCTGTTCTCTTGGGCTCCAGGCTCATTTACATAATTTCCTGATTGACAGCTCCAGTTAGACAACTGCAAGGCATATCAAATTTAATATGATGAAAAGTGAGTTCTTAACAGTCATAACCACCACCCACCCACACTCCTCTTCCGTATTCTTCCCCATGGCTGTAAGTGGGATCACCATGCACCCACCAGCTGATTGAGAAACAAAGAAAAATCAACAACCTGGAAGTCATTTTGATCACCCCTTTCTTTTCATCTGCTCCTAAAGCATCACCAAGTCCTGTGTTTTCCACCTCGATAATGTTTCTGAAATACGCAGGGCGGTTTACAGTTGCTTGTATGGAAATAACAGGTAATAATACAAGGATAAACTCTGTATTTGGCACACCACAACTGTAAGCCTGCCTCTGCCCCAGGGTGCAGCTCTCCCCGCCTCCAGGACTACTGCCTCAGACCAAACCACCGCAGTCGCTCACTCGGGATACTGCAATTTCTGGGTCTTCCCCTCTTTCTATCCCTCCCCACGTCCAATCCATTCCCCATCTAGCAGCTAACGGTGTCCCTGTATCACTCTTCCACTGCAAGCGAATAGCTCCAGATGGCTCATGGAATAACACCCAGACCCCTTCTCACAGAGTATGAGGCTGCCTGTCTCCCTAACCCCACCCTACCCCTCCCCATGACCAGCTGCCAGAATCACAGGCCTCTTCTCTGTCACTGGAAGTCCCCCAAACTACTCCCACCCTGGGCCTTTGCATGACTTTGTCCCACTGCCAGGAACTTCCATCCTCCGCTCCTCTCCTCACTCATCCCTCAGGTCCCTCTTTGCAAGTCACCTTACCTGACCTTTCGGACAGGCCTGACCTGGCCAGCCACTCCAGGTGGCCTCACCAGGCGGCTACTTCCTCCACAGCATGTAACAAGACCTCGTGGGTTTCCTGACTTGCTTACGTGTTTGTTTACGCATCGTCTGGTGCCCTGAGGATCCCTCAGCGTCTGACACCTACTGCTGTGGAGCGGCATCTGAATCTCACTGTTTGTGTGCTCCTCAGTGAGCAGAGAACCAAGCCACTGTCCTGTCTTACACTGAATACTGCTTTTAAATCTTTTATTTATTTACTTTTAGAGAGAGAGGAATGGAGGGAGAAAGAGAGGAAGAGAAACAGCAATGTGTGAGAGATACATGGATAGGTTGCCTCTTGCACACCCCCAACCAGGGACCTGGCCCACAACCCAGGCAAGTGCCCTAACTGGGAATTGAACGGGCGACCTTCGAGTTCGCAGGCCGGCACTCAGTCCACTGAGCCACACCAGCCAGGGCTGAATAGTGCTTTTAAGTAGCACTAAGACATTCAAAGTTAGAAATACTGCATCAGTATATTTTATTTTTTCCTTTCTTTTATGAAACAGTAGTATTGTTTTACCTTTGCTTTTCACTTAACATAAACAGCAAATATCCTGTATCAGTATACAAAACCCCTCCTCATTATTTTTTATAACTGCATTGTATTTCAGTGTGTGTAAAAATCATAATTTATTAAGCCAGTCCCTTACTGGTGATCACTTACGTAGTTTTCAATTTTTTGTTACTACAAACAGTGTTGCTCAGATATACAATTAAAAAATTTTTCAATTACAGTTTACTTTCAATATTATTTTGTACAGGCTTCAGGTCTCCAGTACAGTGGTTACAAAGTGTTCCCCAATGTTTCCCGTGCCCACCTGGCACCATACATAGTTCCCGCAGTATTACTGGCTACATTCCCTATGACGCACTTTACGTCCCTGTGACTGGTTTTATAACTGGCAATTTGCACTTCTTAATCCCTTCGCCTTTTCCACCCTCGCCCTGCTATTCTCATCTGAAAAAGCTGTTTACTCCTTTCATCCCAGCTCTCTACCAGCCTCTTCTACAGGGGCGACAACTCTAACCGCCCCTCCCTGAAGGCCGCACGTGTGCCCCCGGAGAGAGGGCTGCGGCCTTGTTTACGGCCTGCATGTATTCTGCAGGCTCCGCCCTAGACAATGACTGACTCTGATTTATTGCAACAAATTCGTCCCTAAAATATTTACTGAAGCACTTATATAGGCCCGGAAAACTAAGATAAAGTCCATGCCCTTCATTTTTAAAGTCAGGGAGAGACAGACAAATCATTATGACACCATGTGGTACAGTAAAATTTAGTATGAACACAGGTTTACTGTCTTTCTTCTCTCCCACGAGGGGAAAAAAGATGTAGTGTCTCTTTTATACCCCTGTCGCGTCTAACACAGTACTTTGCATGGGGTTGTTAGCTGACAGATTATTTATTGAATAAATGAATGGACAAATCTTAACTTTAAGAAGAAAAAACCCAAAACACAACTTACCCAGTCTCCGGAAAGGTCTCTGACTTGGTAAATGGGAGAAGAAACCAGGTTTCAATGCATTTGTAATCACAATGTCAAAAAGATCTGCAAAATCATTCCTGAAAAGCAACAAATTTTTCATAAATTTATTTTAAGGAAAATGGTCTATATAGAACAGAACTTAATCTTCACCTATCTACCTGACCACATCATCATGTCTTTTCTTTTGATTAACTTTTTACATGCTTCCTGTACATTTTCAGGTAAACCTAGCAGTGGGAATATAAGGTGATTTAGCAAGAGTATCCCTGAACTACACCCTGATACAAAGGTAAGAAAAGAACAAGCACATTAACCCTAGGTGCTAAGCTTTCTCGTGATGGGACAGTTACAGCAAGTGAATTCAATAGTTTCTAATAGCTAGAAATATTCAAAGGTATGTCTTCAGAGAATGTTCAAAAAGTGAAGAAGATACTTTATTTTGAAAGTCAGCATAGTCTTATAACGAGGCCATTCCTAGGTAACAACAGTAACCGTTTTCGGTCTGTACTACATGCAACACTGTGTTTCGGATTACGTGGGATGGCGGCAGAGGACTGGCGTCCCGGTTCCTGAGGGTCCCGGTCCCTGTTGCACTGGAGAGACAGTGTCTACCCAAGGTCCCCAGATACATTTACACATCAAAACTGTGCTGAAGAGGGATTCAGTAGGAAGAAAAAACGTTGGTTATCTGTGCTAATGAACGAGGGATGAAGACCCCAGAGAGTTTACTCAGAAGCACCGTTCTACTACCAGGGAACCGTGGAACTGAGAGCAGGGGTCTCTCAGAGGCACCTTCCAAGGCAGCCGGGGCTCCAGCCTTGATTCACTGTAAGGGTCCCTAGCCTATGTGTGATCTGGAAGGCAGACCAACCACTCACACACGGTGAGGACACCACAGACCCACCTGTACCCACAGGTGTTCAGGGATAGGGAACTGGAGGCTAAAGAGGTCAGCCAGGGGTCTGATTTGAAGCCAGAACTTGCTTCATACTCCTGGTATTTGCTGAAATTAGAGCAAGGGTCTACTTAAAGTGGATTTGGAATCTGACCATGGATATTTCCTGGCATTGCCCAGAAGAATGAAATGACGTTAAATATTAACACTTACTGAAACTTAGCAACTACTCTGCCTAATACCTGACCTGTATATAAATACCCCCTCAAACCTGTGAAGTGCTAATGTTGCATTTTTAAGGTGATGAAACAGGCTTAGCGGGGTTACACCGCCTGCCCCAAATCACACAGGGTGTTGCAAGGCAGGGCTGGAACCATGTCTGTCTCATTTTCAAGTCTGCATTTACACGGCCTCGATTTCCATGGATGTCAGTCCCATCCAGGCTGTGCTACATGGTACAGATGTGGCCCCACACGGAAAAGGCTGCAGACGGGCTCCTCTCCGGCTCTCCATCAGGGAGTACACCCTGGGGCCCTGTCCCTCAGTGACCATCCCAAGCTGAGCAACCAGATGCATGGAAGAGGACATGTGTGCCATGCACCCTTCAGAGAATTTAAAGCCTAGATCATCAGCAAGCTATGAGCCCAGGGAACCCCGGTAACGTTGCTTTGCCAACATGTACTTGGGGGATGGTGCAGGTGTTGAGAGGTGTTATGAGAAACAACTGTTTGTCACGCAGCATTGTTTCACAAGGCCATGATGAAGCACTTTTAGAAATCAGTAGTCTGATCTGCTATCCGTCGTTTATAAGACCATGACAACAGAATGTCTCATCACTTACCCAAGGATGTGTTTGCAGAGGAGTCTACAGTAATCACTATGAGAACTGGTGATTAACAAAAGAATTTTCCCAGCATTCTTTAGCTGTCGAAGCCACTTTTTTACAGATTCGGGACAACTGTGTAAATACCTGCCTGGATCTCTTTTTATTTCTGGAAAATATATTCCACAGTTTTCTGAAAAATAAAAATGTCAGAGATTTTTCTTTTCTTTTTCCATTGTTTTGGACTCAGTGTGTTCTCAAACAAGTCAATCTCTTTCAAAACTATAGGTTAAAAAATCCAGCAGTTACTACTGTTTTTTCAAAAAATATATTTTATTTATTTATTTTTAGACACAGGGGAAGGGAAGGAGAAAGAGAGGGAGAGAAACATCAATGTGTGGTTGTCCCTTGCCATACCCCATACTGGGGAACTTGGCCTACAACCCAGGCATGTGCCCCCACTGGGAATTGAACTGGAGACCCTTTGGTTTGCAGGCCAGTGATCAATCCACTGAGCCACACCAGCCAGAGCTACCTACTGCTGCTTCTTAAGATTACTTCTGTTCTATACTTAAAAACATAGCGATGACTGAAAATGTCAGTTGATAATATTTTTGGCTACTTCATAAGAACTGATAAATTATTAAAACACAACAAACTATATAATCAGCATTGTCAAATCAGAAAACGTTACTGTATTTGAAATACCAATTGATAAATGTTCTTTTAATCATTCAACATATATTTGCTGAGTATAGGAAACAAACCAATAAATATGCTGATGACGTGCCATGAACTCATCTCTGGCATGAGGTAGCCAGGAAGGGAGTGGGTTCCTCAGTCAGAGAGGAGTATTCTTGCAGATGGAACTAGGACTAGAAGAGCTGTCTGTTAACAGCCTCTGTGAGGTACTGAGATGCCAAATGGAAAAACAAGCCAGAAAAGTCCAGAGGCCCTGCAGTTGACAGTGAAAACCGAAGAACCTGAAGCACCGAGCTGGGACTGCTGCCTCTGCCCCTTTGGGTGTTTAGAGAGGCCAAGGGGTCAGGCTGAGCTCCAAGGCAGACGGCGGCAATATCTCCCGAAGTCCTGGTCAGATGCACCTCCTTGGTGTCTTCAGCGTGGTTGGTGCTTAGCAAACAACGGCAGATGTGGTTGAAATGCTACTACATTCACAAAGCATTTTACAGATGCTATTCTCTGGGTACTGAAAAACACAGAGAGCCCTAGTTCTGACTTCCTTTAACTGCTAGGAAAAGAACATACGCGTAAATAAAGTACGACATGAATGAGGTCGTATTGAATGATAAACTGCAATAGATACAGGCCACCCTTGGAATTCTGTATGGTGTCCTGAGCTTGAAATAACAGAAAAGAAAGTTAACTTTCAAGAGTACATTTCAGGACAGGAAAGAAGAGTCTCTAATGGAAAAAACAAAATAAAATGAAACAAAACCAGAAATGGCAGAAAACACTGTTGTCTGCCTGCCCGAATCCACCCCCTGCCCCCACCTCTTGGAAAGTACTGTGATTTTGAGGTTTCACCCTCCTTGAAGGAGCTGGGTGCTCAGGAAAGGCCTGGGTGCCTGAGTCTAATCCCTCTTGGTGATTCCTTCCCCAAACAATAAATCGTTTGGGACAGTGGAGGAGACCCAGGCAAGACCCATGGGGCTTTAAGAGAGCTCTGCCAGGGGGTTTGGCATCGTGTACACCACTGCAAACAAAAATCCCTACATAGGAGGGCATGTCCCTTCTTCTGTTCTGGGCTTTGCCATGCCTCCACGTCCTATGTTGAACTGTGACTATCTTCAACACAAAGCACAAGTCCGACACAGCAGGAATGGCCTGGCAGAAATCTGAAAGGAACCTGGGTCCCCGATGCTGTCATTGGGCCTCTGAGATGCCGATGTCACTGCTGCTAGAAGTACCACCCAAATTCTGGAATTCTTCTGGTCACGTGATATAACTCACTTTAATGACAGCATAAATACTGAAGGTATCAACTATGTGCAACCTAGGCCATCTCTCTTCATAAAATAATACACTGCAAGAATCAATCACAACCAGACTGAAAAATCACAGACTATGTTACACTGTGAGAACAATACCCAGATGGCAAAAGACCAAGAACAAAAACAGTTTGTGCTTTTCTCATATTCTGCTCTATGGGACATTTGTGTGTAAACCTCTAGGATCTCTCCATATACCTGAAGCTATGTAATTTTAAAAAGCTTTTTAATTCCAAAAGCTTTAAAAAATTAAAATAAATTTTTTTTTCAGGGGAAAGAGGGCACTAGTACCATAAGATAGAGCTAATTTAAGAAAGAGAAAAATAAAACAAGTAGCCAAGAACAGAAGAGTTTAATGAGTGACTATCAAAGTAATGGCAGAGGCTGTGCCTTAGAATGTATTATATGTATAAGGGTTATATGTGAAATTATTTTGGCCAGAAAAACAAAAATTTTGTAGCAATAGAATTCTTATGGGCTATATAAGAAAATATTTATAGTATGTAATGCTGAAAGTATTATATGCTTAAGCTGTATTTATAATTTTTTTCTTAGCTATACATGTGTGTCTACCGCCATCTAGTGATCAAAATATAAATTACTATTAAAACTACTACTGTCCCATTTTCAAATGGATTTTTAAAAAACAGCATATACCTTTAAATACTGTATTTTAAAATTCTTGCCCAGATTAATTTTATTAGTATCACTTAATAAGCCTACTGCAAAAGTGGGCAAACATAATAGTTTAGTTGAGAAAATTACTCTGAGGTAATTAATTCAAACTAAAAAAAGACAAACCCTGTTATGAATAGACACCCAATGGTAGATCGTGGGTTGCTACTACTATAAAAGATCACTGACTGCTGCTGGGGAAAATAGTTTCATTCCAATTGTAACCTCAGATCACTGAAGTAAGAGGAGGCATAATTACACAAACACACACTCATCTTTTTTTAAAAATTTAATCTTCATGGGAGGGTATGTCCATTGATTTTAGAGAGGATAGAAGGGAGAGAGAGGGGAGGAGCAAGAGAGGGAAGGAGGGAGGGAGGGAGAGAGAGGGGGAGAGAGGGAGGGAGGGAGAGGGGGAGAGAGGGAGAGAGAAGGGAGGGTGCAATCCAGATGGGATTAAAAGTAAAGAGGGAGAGAGAGGGAGAGAGGGGGAGAGAGGGGGAGAGAGGGAGTGATGGAGAGAGGGAGTGATGGAGAGAGAGAGAGAGAGAGAGAGAGAGAGAGAGAGACACACACACACACACAAAGAAGCACAGACTGGTTGCCTTCTGTACACCCCAAGCAAGGATCAAACCGCAACCCAGGCATATGCTCTGACCAGGAATCGAATCCACAACCTTTTTGGTATGTGGGACAATGCTCCAACCAACTGAGCCACCCAGCCAGGGCCATACTCATCTTTTTTAAAATTTATTTTTACTGAGATATAGTTGACACATAAATATGTTTAAGGTGGTTATGTCACATCTCTATCACATTATACAACACAATCTATTTGTAATGGGAACAATTAAGATCTAGTCTCTTGGAAATTTTTAAGTTTACAATACAGTGCTGTAGTCTATAATGCTCATCTTTTTATTGAAATAAATTAAGCTCTTGAACCAACAGAAGAGTTAGGTTAAACATACCACACTGAACTACAGTTGTCAGTTAAATTATCTCCCCAAAGAGACTGTAAAGTTCTTTCTTTTTAAGATTTTATTATTTATTTTTAGGCAGAGGGAAGGGGTGCGAGAAAGAGAAGGAGAGAAACATCAGTGTGTGGTTGTCTCCCCAGCACCCCCTATTGGGGACCTGGCCCACAACCCAAGCATGCGCCCTGACTGGGAATCAACCAGCAACCCTTTCGTTTACAGGCTGGCACTCAATCCACTGAGCCATGCCAACCAGGGCCATAAAGTGCTAAAGGGAGGACATATATCTTTCTGCCTGGCATAGAGCAGGCATTCAAATGAATATCTAAATTGGTGCAGGGCAGACAGGAATATTTGTTTATTTATATTCAAAGTAATAGGGTTTGTAACATATAACCTAACTGTAGGTGGCGAAAGCATTGCCCTATCAAAGTTATTCTAGCTAAAGCACCTTCCATTTTTTACCCCTATTGAAAAAACATCATGCCTAATTATAATTACAATAGATTAACATAACTGTATCACAATATAATTATGACAGACTACCACTGCCTGCACAAGACAGGGCATGTAGACCGAAGGAGAGGAGAGAGGGCGGTCTTACTTGCTGTTCGTGCACAGAGCAGCAGTCAGTCTGTGCTTCCAGTTCGCCCCCAAGGAGTTCTGCTGCCCTGCCACTGCATGCGACTCCTCCTCCTGGCCTTTCCACCCCTCTAACATCCTTAGATGCTGCTGTTTTATGCATCCAGATGGGATTAAAAGTAAAGTTTTAAAAATTGCTTATTGATTTTAGAGAACGTGAGAGAGGCAGACAGACAGCCAGCCAGACATCGATTGAGTTGTTCTTCCACAGAACCCTGTAACCTTGGTGTACGGGAACAGTGCTCCAACTAACTGAGCTGCCTGGCCAGGGCCAAACGTAAAATTTTTAAAGCTGATTCTAAAGAATAAAAATTTAGCTCTCATTAAAAAACTGGTTAATAAGCAGTGGCCTGCATGTAGCAAACATGACTCAGGATTTAGGGACCTCTAGTGGTAGCACATAATAAGTACAATTTGATTATTAAAAGTACTTTTAAATTTAACAGACAATTGTGCTGAATCACTATTTTTATCATCACAGAATAAGTAAGCATTTTTTTCTTGTTAACTGTATCACCATTATTGGTGTGATCTGTGGCTCGAGTTTTCAAAGTTGCAGTCCAAGGGGATTACAGGTGCTGGATGCTAACCCCTCCACCATCAGCCTCCAATTAAGGTCTGCTATTGTTTCTGTGGCCGAACAGGATCTAGGAGTGACTGAAACACTTACAGCTTTTCCAAGTTATAGAAGAGCATGTTAATGAACAGCTACAATGTTTAGCTATGAACTAAATGTATTTGCTATAAGGAATGATGTAAATAATTTAGTGAAATACAGACATACACAATTTTTGGGGGGGGGCAAAAGATACTGAAATATTTTTGAAGGACAAAAGAGATAAACAACAGATTATATTCAGATTATTCAGAAATTCAGATTATTCTGAATT